TAAAAATAGCTGTGAAGAGCCTTTGCCAAAGGAAGCTGAAGCTGCCAGCAGCATATGTGAAAATGTCATTAATTTCTCTAATAATTCGCACTTACTGCATGCGATATAATTTTTGTCTATTAGCGAGAGAACTAATGCAATCAAATACACGAGTCTGTATTTCAGAGGTTTTCCGGGAGGGACTGTAAGAGGTCAGCCTGGAGCCAGTAATGCATRGCCAGGTGACATCTCATAGAACTCATACTGAATGGGGCTGTCAGGAGGTCTGGGAGCAGGTGATGAGACAACTGGGACCATGCTGGGATCAGCGCTCCTCTGTAGACCTTCTCCAATGCCTGCATCCTTCACTCCTCTGGCAGCTCAGGGAGAACCAAGGGAGAAATCAGAGAGAAAATAGCTTGAGATGCAGCCACTGGATGAATCATAYAGCAAATTGGTCAAGGATACATGAGGATGAGGTGTGCTGTATAACAGTTTTGGTACTGGCTGGAGCTGTCCTGCTGCAGGAGCAGCTGCCGCATTCCAAGCGAGCACAGGTGATGTCCAGGCCAAGTCTTGCTGTTAATTTTGTTTGTTGGTAGCATCAAAGTATCTTCACATTGGCTGTAATACATTTCTATCCATTTTTAGAATGATTTGTGCTACCAGAGCAATGTACAATGGCCCACAGAGTAAAATCAAGAGCTCTCCCATATCGTGACCTGCTCTTGTCCCTTCTGCCTGTACTGTGGGTCAGTGCACTGACACCCGTCTCAGCTCTCCTGYGCCATTCAGAAGCAGAGATCAACTCATTACTCCCATTTTGCAAACTGAAATGGGGCAGCAATAGGTGAAACAACCTGACACAGTCACACAGGGATATGTAAAATACATCCCAGACTCCAACACCCACCATGTCTCATCCCTCTACCCTTTTCTCCTTACCGAGCTACAGAACTAGTCAAGAGCTGCAGGCAAATTGCCAGCCGGAGTCTCTGCTTCCTTGCCCCATCCTCTACCATGATAAACAATTTTCAAATGCTACCCTTTGACATTAGATCTCTTTCATACCCCTTGGCCCAAGGGTAAATAGCCAACAAAGGTGCAAGATGATTACTCCTCCCCTCTGATTCCCCACTGGGTTGATCTTGCTCTGCAGGCTTTGCATCTGACAGAGACCAATCTGATTTTTATTTATGCTTCAGCATGTGTTGTGCTGGGAGCTCTGTCCCTCCGGAAGTTTTGCCTGGCAGCCGGTCATGCGACAGACAACTTCCCCTGCTGCTCTGCAAGGCTCTGCCCACCTTGCTGTGGGGGCAGATGCCCGGATGGGCGGGAAAACAGCGCGGCGAAAACGCGCGGGAAATCACGCTGTGGGAGGGGGCGAGGCATATAAAAGCAGCGAACTGCGACACAACSGGGGCCATTTTCCTTTGGGGCTCTTGGAGGGAGCAGGGGGTCGTCTCAAGGGTCACTTTGGCTGTCTTCCCTGCCAGCTTCCCTTTTGTTTCCTTTCGTTCCTGTGGTCCTGCCTTCCCTTTCCGCACCTGTCCTGCCCGGGTGCTCTGTTTTGCCGCTTCCCCGAGGCAGCTCGACACTGCGACAACCTCGTGTTTGCTGTCTCCTCGACGGAGCCTCCGCCTGCAGCAGCCGCTGTCGTGGGTCCCGCAGCAGCCCGCAGCTCCAGCCGTGTGTCCGGCAGTGTCCGCAGCCCCAGCCTGCCCTCAGCCGTGTGTCCGGCAGTGCCCGCAGCCCCAGCCTGCCCACAGCCGTGTGTCCGGCAGTGTCCGCAGCCCCAGCCTGCCCACAGCCGTGTGTCCAGCAGTGCTCTCAGCCCCAGCCTGCCCTCAGCCGTGTGTCCGGCAGAGCCCGCAGCCCCAGCCTGCCCACAGCAGCCGCAGCGATCCCACAGTGTGTCCGTAGCCACGGCACCGTGTTCTCCGCCGACGGGAGGGACACGCAGCCGCTGCTGTTTGGAAATCGCGCCCAGCCGCCTCGGGAGCCGCGCAGGCTCCTCGCGGTTCGCAGCACACACGCTCCTTCTGCCGAGCTGACGTCCACTGGGCGCCCGGRGTACAGCGGTAACAATCTGTCTGCTATTCTGKCTCTCCGTTTCTCTTTTTCCCTGTTTGTTCCCTTTTCTATCCCCCCTTGGTAGGAAGTGGTAGGAACATTTACCCTTATCAATAAACAGTTCTCAGATATAATATTGCCGTGTTTGCGCTTTATTTTTTGTCCAAGAAATCTGTTACAAGAATCCTCCCCGACTCCCTCTTTTCAAGCGGGACGGGATAGCATCCCTCCCCCCCGCCCCCCGGTGGAGCATCCCTGGCCGCATTTCAAAGACGGAGGAAAGCAAAGTGAATCTGTCCGGCAAGACTCACTGTACCAGCTGTTAGGCAATGGCTTTGCATCCAAGGAGGAGACTGGCTCTGCCAAAGCCTGGACTTTCCAGGCAGGGACCATCACCACTATCACTGCCCTGCTCCAAGTCACCCCAGGTGGTCGGTGCATGCAAGGGTCCTTCGTTAGCAATGGACTGAGAGGAAGGCGTCCCCCAGGCAAAAGGGTGTGGTGAAGATGTACACAGAGSAAGAAGCAGGGGGAATCTCTGTGTCCACATGGGAAGGTAGGGGTCAGCTCTGGAGAGGTAAGTCTGCCAAAGGCCAACCAAAAAACCTGTTGGGGACAAGGAATAATAACTGGGATGAGTGATAGGTAGCTCATCTGGATCCACTGAATGTCAGCAGATACCAGTGTGGTGAGAAGAAGGAAGCCTGCAGCAACAGGGGACAGCAAGCATGTCCCTGACCAGACACTTAAGCCATCCAGGTCCTTCTGTGGGGCCAGAAAACAGGCAACAGGGGGAAGAAAGAGGACCAACACTTTTTAGGTGAGTGCCAGAGCTTTTAACATATTCCACACCCTCAGCAGCCCAAAAGGAGCATTGTTTTATTTGCTCTCTGCGTCTCCTCAGCCTGGGAGCTAGCTCTTACTTGTTATTTATTGCATCTGCTTGCCTCCCATCTTTAGGACGTCTGCCCTGAATTCATCCTCCCTTCCCCCCACCAAACTAAAAAACAGCCAGAAATATCCTATGATCTCTTCTGCTTCACCTGTAATTTGTGTCATGCTGGCAAGGAGGAAAACCGTCTGCCTTTGTCAAGATCAAAAAAGCCACGGCAGCCATGTGATGTCAGCTTTCATTAACCACGTCTCTCTCCTCTTTGCCTCCCCTCTCCAGCTTGCAGCAGAGGGGCAGATGGGTCTTCATTCTCCCATGGCAYATTTCCTGCCATTTGGAGATGCCCTTGGTTCAAATGACCGGGAAAGCCAGCTCTGGGGGTCCTGGATCCTCTTCCGCAGCAAGCTGGAGCCAAGCTCAGGGCTGAGGCAAAGATGAGGAGATGCAGCAAGGTGGACCACAGCCCACCAATGCACAGTGGGCCCTCTGAAAGTTTCACGTCACTGCACATCATCCTCCWGCTCTGATCTCAGAATGAGAAAAACAGCCTACCTTTATAACTGCAGTGCTTCTCCTTAGGCTCCTTCCTGCCKCTGTCATGGGCAGGGGAGCACTGGGCTGGGCAGAGGCTGACCAGCTAGTGGGGTGAGGGGGACGGCACCCAGATAGGAGCATGATGGAGGTCGAGGCTGCTGGAGCTGCCGCAAAACCTCGCACAGAATAATTCAGTGTGCAAAGCCAGTTGCTACTGCCACACAGTGTTATGGAAATTCCCTTCTCTAGCTATGTTATCAAGCAGTCTTTATAGGACAAAAGTGTAATTAACTATGTTAACATTTTTCCCTCATTCTTGACATTGGTGAGGCCAGACCTCAAATCCTGTATTTAGTTTTGGGGCCCTCACTCCAAGAAAGACGTTGGAGTACTGCAGCATGTTCAGAGAAAGGCARAGAAGAAACTGGTAAAGTGTCTGGAGCACAAGTGTTATGAGGAGCAGCTGAGGAAGCTGGAGTTGTTTAGCCTGGAGAAAATGAGGYTCAGGGGAGACCTTATTGCTCTCTACAACAACCTGAAAGGAGACTGCAGTCAGGTGGGGATTAGTCTCTATTCCCAGGTAACAAGCAGTAGGATGAGAGGAAAGCCTCAAGTTGCTCCTGGGGCAGTTTACAGTGGATATGAGGAAACACTCACACACTGAAAGGGTGGTCAGGGAGTGGAACAGGCTGCCCAAGTGCATGTTGGAGTCACCATCTCTGAAGTGTTTGAAAAGGTGTAGATGTGGCACATGGGGACATGGTTTTGTTTTGAACATGGTAGTGTTGCGTTAATGGACTCGATCTTAGAGGTCTTTTCAATATAGTGATTCTGATTCTGTGTATTAGTTGACATTATAAATGCGATGTAAGGAGGCAGTGGACATTTACTGGAACCTTTGCTATTGTTCAGCCTTGAGTAAATGAATAGCCAACAGCTCATGGCAAGGGCCAGGTGGCAGCACAGCCCTGGAAATAACGGCTTTACTTCTCAGAAGCCCAGTGTCCTCCCCTCAGTGCCCCTTCAAATTGCCTCAAGCACAGCTGACCCCTGGGACATCAGGGTTTTACCATGACTGGCTGTCCATGGTGGTCAGTCACGCCATGTGGTACCTGAGCACTCAGAGGGGCCCCACTCTGTGCCTCTGCATCACCGCAGTCCACAAGTTCCTCGTGAGGGAAGATGGAGGGGCAGGCACTGATCTCCCTGGCAACCAGCGATGGGACCCATGGCAATGGCCTGAAGTTGTGCCAGGGGAGGTTTAKGTTGGATATCACAGAAAGGTTCTTCACCCAGAAGATGGTTGGAACAGGACGACGCTCTCAGACACATGGTGTGACTCCTGGGACCCCTGGGGCACGTGGTGGAACCTCTGTGCAGGGCCAGGAGCGGGACGCGACGATCTCTGAGGGTCCCTGGGAGAGCCGTGAAGCGATGACCGCCAGCCCCGCAGCGCCCCCTGCCGGCCGCCACGAGCAGCGCGCGCCCCGCCCCGCCCCCAGGCCCCGCCCCCGACGTCGGGCGCAAGGCGGAGCGCAGCGGCCGTTTGAATTCCGGCGGGCGGCTGCTGCCGTCTCTCGCAGGGATGGCGGTGCTGCGGCCCTACGACAAGCTCCCGACCCTCAACACTGCAGCCCTCCTGGTAAGTGCGGCAGTGGCGCAGCTCCACAGCCTGGCCCCGCCGTCCCTTCTCCTTCCTTTTCCTTTTCCCTTTCCCTGGCCCCGGCCCCGCTGTGGGGCCTGCCTGTCCCTTCCCCTCGGCCACGGCGGGCCTTGCCTCTGCGCGCCGGCCCCGCCCCGTGCGGGGATTGGCTGTCTGGCTGCGATATGCAAATGTAGGRCTGGGCTGACCGCGCTCCCGCCTCTGCCCGCAGATCGTGGGCACGGACGAGGGGCTCCAGCAGAAGTTGGCAGAGGCGATCCTCCAGGACAAGAAGGACTTCAACATCAGCATGTGAGTGGTGGGATGCGGGATGCGCCGCCTGCGGTCCCGGACCCGTACCGGGCCGCTGTCACCTGGTTCAACAGGCGCAAACCAGAACAGCAGCTGTGACTCAAATTCACGGAAAGCTTCTACTTCAGATTCCTGAAGCACCGAAATTAGTTAAAAATGCAGGTTCAGTCCTCGTAGGGGGAGTTGGAACTGTAGGATACTCGATTCAGAGAGAGACTTCGCTCTTGTGAACGCTAGAGAGCACCACTGCCCAGATGTGACTGCATTTGCAAAACCCAAACTGCTCTGTCCTCGGAGCAGGCAGTTTAAGCATGCTTGGATACGGTGGAGGGGAAAGAAGCATTACCCAAGTTCGTGTTCATCATGCACATGCCATTGCCTTTTGGACTTTGCACAGATGTTCGATCACTGAATTGGAAAGGTTTAAGAGAAACCTATCTTTTCCCCCACGTGAGAGACAGGTGTATACAGAAATTAAACATCCTGGGATAAAATGGGACAAGTGCAATACTTGGAAATACTTGCAACCAAACAAGTGTTTCTGAAAGATGTCCACTATTTTTGAAGCTTTTTGTAGCTGTTTTCTGGTTTGCATGCACCCACGTGCTTTTCTTCCTCAAGCTATTAAGATGCACTTGGAATTTCAGCTTTAGCTGCATGACRTGTCCTGTCTTAAAAGCTTGATTAACTAACTTTTTACAATAAAATGTCCTTGACAGYTCTCTTCCCAAGACTAAATGAGTTTAGTCAGCTCTTCAGAAGGTGTTTATGTTACTTCACTGCTGTAATCCMTGGCTATGCAGTTAAAGCAACCCAAGCTAATGTTCTGCTGCCTAATTAGAGTGACTGTACTGCTCTGATTATRGCATCTTGGATGTTTGTGCTAACTAATAATAAATGAATTACCCCATTTTCTATGTGAAACCTGCAGCCTCTGCTAAGCTRTGGAGTGCCATAACGAGATGGCTGCTGGTACTATAGCTGGGTAACTGCCCAAAGGCACAAAATCATGTGCTCGTGCTACAGAGCAAGATACATGCCTGTGTTAATTTTGTTAGGAAAGCAAAGTCCATGGCAGTGGGTTTTTTTCCTCCCACTCTTTTACTTTGGGATTATACACACTACAAAGAAATTGTCTGGCAGGTTTACTGTCAGGTACAGTTGTTGGGTGAGGAATTACAGGGCTTGGGTTTTTTGTGTCTCTTACTGCTGTGGGGGGGAGACTTCTGCAGCGCATATCTGGAGGCTGCTGACATCATTTAGTCACATTGGTTTAAATATAGCAGAATTCCAAATAATGCAGTGCTTTTTTGGGTCGCTTTTTTCTTCCCCCCAGACAATGAGCTCTGATACTTTCATCAAAGTGCCTCCCTAAATTTCACCTTAAATTAATAAGCTTGTTTGTGTTGCAGTGTTTCTTTCAAGCTTACTTTTCTCATTTCTTGTATTAGTTTCAGAATATTTTTGTTAAATTGTGCCTTTCTTAGATGTAAGAAACAAAACACCTTTATTTGGCAACTAGCAAACAAAACTACAAACTACATAGGATTAATAGAAAAGTCTGTGTATCATGGTCTGCACCATGGTCTGTGGCTGCTGAAGAAAACTGTAAAATCCTGAAGACTGAATTGCTAGAAGTAATATTCCCCAAGATCAGAATCAGTATTACTCCCTTGGCTTCCAGAGAGGAAGTGGACTGTGAGAGTGACCAAACTTCTGCGAGTTTTGTTWGTCCAATTTATCTTTAAGGTGATCTTCCAAAAACGTCGTGCTTACAATGTTCTTCCCTGTGAAAGGTCCAGTTATGTACTGCTGAAACCCTTTTTTTGTTGGCTTTTTGGTTGGTTGGTTGGTTTGGTTGTTTGGTTTTTTTGTTGTTAGTTGTGGTTGTTTAGCTTTCTTAGTGGGAAGAGATGCAAAAAGTCCCTACCCCGTATTTCTTCCAACAGCTCTATTAGCAGTGCTGGTACCATGCAGAAGGACACCTAAACTAATCTAGTAGCTCCTGATATAGTGAATGGGTTAAAAAGGGAGGTAACRATATAATAGAAGCTCTTTTTGAGTTATAACTTCATCTGTAAAGCTGTATTAATGACAAATTTGTTGTTTAAGGCTTTTCTGTACCTGGAAAGGTTACCTCTCCGGTGTGAGCATATGAGCAGTATTTCTGGAATGTGACAGAAAAGCACTGATGCATTTTAACTGAAACTTGGCAGCAAAATATTCCAGTAAAGCATTGGGGTTCACTTTGTTAGAAAGGACTTTTGTAACAATTAAATGAAATTACTTGCCATACAGAYCTTCACGGAGAAAATGTTTCTGTGAGTCTTGTTATGCTCTAATAAGCGTTCCATTATAACCAGCCTTGTCTAGCAATTACCATTGTGGCTGTCAGCAACTATGAGTGGGCCTGAGATATGAGASTACCACTTAAACAACCACTGTCTCTTCAATGCCCACGTATTTAGTAATTAGCAGGCTTCCTGGTAACTTGCTTCATGGTGAACTGCAATGGTTATGTGATTATGGATACTGTCTTTCCAAGCTATTTGGTTAAACTGGCAAATTTCTTATCTTTCAGWCACCTTGCTACATCCCTCCCCTTACCATCAGAAAGGGATCATCTTCGACCCAGGATAGATCTGATTGTGTTTATGATTGACATCAAGAGCAAATACAGGTAAAAGAAGGGCAAAAATATGAGAGAGGGGACTGATATTCTTTCTTGGTTTGATGGCTGTATCTACATTTTTACTGTGTTGGAATTGCTGAATAGTGGGTTTGAAACCCAAGGCTTGCTGTGATGGAAGAACTCAGTAATATATACAGTATCTTTCTGGCCTCCAGCAGTGGATTAGGACTGAACTGCTCTGTCCAATAACATGCCTGTTGTGCACTAAGTTGCCATATCAGAGAAGACAGAATTTATTTCTGGATCCAGATATGTGATGATATGAACTGAACTTTGAGAAGATGCTGTCTGTAGATGGAAGTGCTGGTGGTGCTGTGAAGTTCTGTAATATGTAGGAGGCTGATGTGTGCTGGGCAGCACTGCCTTATAACCAGCAAGTTGTTCTGTCTCTGTCCTCAGTTCACTGATACTCCTGGTCAAGTGGGATCAGCACTATGGATGTCTCTAGGCAAAAGAGAAAGGTCTGCAGGGATTGATCCCTTTTCTATCATCTTGTGCTTGCCTTTGTAGAAATGATACTTGTTTCCCCAGGCCCCAAGTAAAGACTTGCTAAGGCACAGAAGTCAGCATTTTATTGCTTACTTAACTTGTGACTGATGATCCTGGGCTCTCATTTACCAAAAATGACAGGCCCAGCTGCATACTTACAGCACAGATGGTGCTGCAGAAATGTGTGGGCAAGCGCTTCCTGAAAGAGCCGAAGTGGTACTGAAGTTTCATTGGGTATTAATGAATTCAGATGCTTAGTGTCTGTAAATCATGGAGGACACTGTTCAAACTAACTCTAACTGTTGAGTCTTGAGTAGAAAGGATATGTTATGGGTTATTAAACAGCTGTGGGTATTACGGAGGTCTCTGATGTCATGCTTTTAGCATAAAGCAGAACTCTGCGAGCTCACAAATCAGCAGATGTTAACATCATTGGTTTTCTAATTATGCTTCTGAAAATTATTCCTGTTGTCCTTATGCTGCACTGGTTTAACCTCCCTGTCCAACTWGATTGTCTGTACTTTTCTGACAGCTTGAAGAATGTCGAAACTTCCCTAGCTTATGTGGATGCCAGCTTCTTCCTGGGGAAAGTATGCTTTCTTGTCACTGGAGGTACGTATGGCATCTCTTTCTCCTTTCCACACAACACAGCTCTCCGTTGGTTTTCTCAAAACAGGGCACTGACTTAACTTGAAATAAACTAAAGGAAACCAATGGCTGTGTTGAAACTTTGTTTAAAATATTTCTGAACTACTCTGCCTTTTATTGTTTTCTTTTAGGTAAAACATGATTCTTTTCTCTCATGCTCACTTGCTCTCTCCTCTTTTGGTTTTGCCAGTCAGACCTCTCTTTTCTGTCCCTAATCTCTGAATATGATTTGTATTATTGATTGTGTGTGTGTGTGTGTGTGTGTGTGTGTGTGGCACTGTAGAAGTCTGTTCTATCTTCTCTTGCAGACCTCTCTTAATGATAACTTTAATGAGCAGTGAGAAGCATATGACACTGTGGTAATAAAGTGAATCTAAATGGATGAGCTACAAAACTATGAAGTGTAGTTTTAATACAAGACTGGTATCCCTGCTGTGTACTGTCTGGCCCTGTTATGCCTCTAATCCTGCTGTCTCCCAGTGCCTTCCTGCGTACCCTCCCTGCTTCAGCTCTGAGGAACTGGAGGGGCCAGACTGTAGCGCTTAGTGTTGGAACACAGGTGCTGTGTCCCTGGAGTTTGGGGGTCAGGAGGCCGAATTCTGGGGTAGAGAACGTGTTTTAGCATTGTCTTGTGCTATGGTTCTCCCAATGAAGTGAATTCCTTGGAGACCAGACCACTGTTTTGAGCCAGGAGGATTTCTGGTAAGTGAGTGGAAGACTGCCCCTGCTGATGTTGTGCTGATCCCTTATGCAGAATGTTAATGTTACATGAAGAGTAATGTGGTAATACTGTTCCTGCTGTTAGTATTATGAAAGACTTCTGTGCTAATTCTATTAAAAATCTTGTACCATTCTGTTTGCGCTGCTCACTGTTACCTTATCTTCTATTATGCTCTCAAAATTAGCTCTGGGTTGTTTTGTGGATGTGGAATTTCCTGATACTTTTCCTCACTGATTGCTGATTGTGGGGCTTGTAATGTGGGAAAACTTTTTTTTAGTTGGCAGATTGAATTCTTGCAGCGTTGACACGAACGTTATCTGTAAATTAGGCGAAACCTACAACAGTCCTGTGCTATTCTGTGAGCTGGAGGTAAGGTGCTTATTTGACATCTCAAGGGATTTCTGAATTCCACTGCTCTGTGATGCTTAGAAACATCATGACATTAACAATAAATAAATATGCTACTATCTTTCCTAAATGTCTGAGACGAAACTCTGTCTACAAGAGCAGCAGAGGTACAGGAGTCTGGCTGTCCTTGAAATGAGTCTTGTAGTAACCTGCTTCTTCCTGTGCTACTTCAAAATCTCATGAAGCCGAGCCTAAGCTAACAAAAACCATCTCTGATATGCAAAGYCTTGTTCCTTACTGCATTTTCTCTTCCTGGGAGCCCCTGAGCTGTTATTTGCCATGTGACTCCCTTGCCTATGTAATGTTTCATGTCAGCCAAACTTTGTGGCTTCACAGACCATTTTGCCACCAGATATGCCACTCTTTTCAATTACCTGCTTGGCCTCAAAACCTGAAGGGAGAGTTTGGCATTCAGCAGTAGCACACTTCACTTTTCTATGTACTCGTCACTGCATCCTCAGAGACTGTTCTCTACCAGCASGTAGAATCCATGCCTTTGGCAAGCCCTTCAGGGCTTCCAGCTGGCAACACTGTACCTTCCTTAATGTTAGGGAAGTAAAGGGGTCTGTTGGGGATTYTCTGTAACTAGCCTCTTGAGGCCTGCTCTGGTTCTTTTATCAAAGCTTAGCATTGCTTTTCTTCTTTCCTATTGATTAAGTAATTTTTTCATTTTGTTTCCAGCTGGAAGGGGTACGAGTGGCCACTGCTCAACGACTTCTCCGAATGTTACAGATCTGTGCTGGTCACATACCAGGAGTTTCTGCCTTGTCCTTTGTCTCACTGATGAGGAACTCTTATGATTATTAGCTTCTTATTGTGATAATTCAGCCACATCTATCAGTTTTTTTTCACTTCAGGCATTCAAACTGCAGCAGTTGGAATCACATTGGGAAGCTTTTTGCACGACTTTTTTGCATCACTCATCCAGAACTATTCCCAGTTGTTYATCTCTCAAGAAAAGTTTGATTCCTATTCAGTGGATAAAAGGTGCTACGGAGAGGGCAGTTTGGGATTCCTATYCATTATTACATCTGAATCCCATTTCATGATCAAATTTGAGTTTTTTCCCCTTGGCCTGTGGCCAGGAGCTACTTGTTTTTCTGAGAGCATTAGAAGAACAGGCCACTCTCTCTGAAGTACCAGAGAAGAGGCAGCAGGCTCCTGCTTTCTTTCAGCTAAAATGCAGCACCTTAGACTAATGTGAAGCCTTGCTGCCAGGTTTTGTCTGTCCACCAAGAGAAGAATGGTGAAGGAAGGCTGGCTTGCGACTTCTACATAGACTGCACTTGGCAGTTAATGATCCAGCTGTGTGAGCATCTGCCCTGCAAAGGACTCAGTATTTCCATGCCTGATACCTAACTGGGAAGGAAGAGACTAAAGAAGATAATCAATCTAGCATTTAAGCTTTCTTTTAGATCTTTGAAGAAAAAGACTCCACCTGCTAAGCCCAAGACAGCCCCAGTAACCCAGTCTGGAGCTGACTAGAGGTGGAACGCAGCAGACCGGACCCCAGCAGCACACAGAAAACAGATTGTCTCTGCAGGTTTTGCATATGCTGTGTATAATCCCTCTACTAACAGGTTCTTATCAGCAGTCAGTTGTTCCTTATGCTTACTGCAAGTCACTAGGATTTGAGGGTTCTAATTTAATAAAATAAATAATATTTAATAGTTGTGTGCTCTTTATTAGGTACATGGCACAGGATCTAAAAATCTGTGAATGCTCACCCCAGTTTGCCCTGGCAGGTGGTCCTTGCTGGCAGCTCSAACTCGCAGTTAGTTGTGCTGCACTCGTGGCTTCAACCACGTGGTGGTGGCAAAAGCTTTTCAAATCCAGCCCTTTCTGTACATTGAGTTGAGCCACCTGCCAGAATACAATGCTTTTTGAMACGCTGGGATGTTTCTTACCCAGAATTGTGTAGCAGGTAGAAATGAAGCCTAGACAGAATGTGTTAAGCTYCCTTTTGGTTTAGCTTATTTAATCCCCTAATAGTCTGCTTTAATGTTCCTAGGTGCAGAGCTCTAGCTGTGTGCACTGTTTCGGTTAGCTTGTTTCTGACATCTGTCTGTGAGCAGGAAAAGCAGAAAGCAGCACTGCAGGCTTAATCAGCTGTGAGTGTTGGCAGTCCTTGCAAAGACAGCTCAGCAAGGCACAAAGCCTGTATCCTTGCTCAGAGGACACACAAATCCCAGATCCAGTTTTATTGTTGGTGATGGGGGAGGGCTAGGGTGTTTGTCAGCTGAAACAAAAGGAGCTAAACTATTCAGCTGTGTTATGATGCCCAAAAGGGCTGGACTCTGGCTAAAACCCAAAGGAGAAAGACATGTGCAAACTGTTGTAAGAAGGACTGGAAGCTTAATGGGCATGCCCTACTTTCAACTAGCTTTGTGATCCTGAAGGTACTAACCAGGATGGCCTCCAGAGAGGGGCAATCATGCTGAGAAATAAGCTTCTGTGTTGGTTATGCTGTCTCAGCCTTGCTCTCACATTGGGTCCCTCAAAATAACAGAGACCATGGTTTAGAATAGGCTGGTTTTGATTTGCTCTCGATGTGCAGGTGCAGTCTGGGGGAGGGAAGGAAGGGAAGTGGCATAAAATGAGCCACTCTTTCATGTCCTCTGCAACTGCTATAAGGCAAGGAGACTTCCATCTCCTGGGTTGCTCTCCAGTTGACTAATAGCTATTGCACTTGGGTAAAATCCTTTTGGCCTCAGGAGTAATTTCACTGTGCTTTCTTAACCAGTGAAAATGAAACTTCTTTTGGTCCACCCAGAATGCTTTGGGGTAACCCACATGTGCTACTGTCCATTCCTGCACCTTCAAGCAGGGTTTTTTTCCACTGTTATGTTTCAGATAYGGTATTTCTTCCCTTCCACTACTTTCAAAGAAGAAAGATGATGTTTTTACTTCCTACAGGTGGCTGAATCTCAGCTGGTACAAAATAAAATCTAGTTCCTTAAGAGCAGCATCTTGCTTCACCTTGGGGCAATATTTTTCTTACTCTAAGGAGAAAGTATTTACTAGAACTGGCAGGGGAAGTGGAGCATATCTAAGAATATGACACTRTGTCTCAGGTCCATCATGTTTTACAACCCAAAGTAGTTGGGACACATCTAAAGCTACATCTTCAACTATGTAAATACCTCTCAAAGCTGTCAGCTATTAGTTTAGACAGGCCATAACACTGCCCTTACTACCAAAGGAGATAAGACAACTGAGGATATCTTTGATCTRGATGGAGTAGCCAGGGCTAATGTTTGATAAAGGTCTTGTGCAAGTAGTACTGGGAYTGGGATCAGAGGCATGGAAGGCCTGAAGCTGAATTGAGGCTAGTGACTCAGGTTCTGTTGTGCTCAAACATTATGAAAGAGCTTGCCAAGCTGACTGAAATCTAAACTAACAGAAACATTTTGGAGTTACTTGCTTTCTCTTCTCTCTTGCCTCAGTTCCTTATCCCTGTGGAGATTTTCAAAGAGAAATCCCCCTCTCTGTAGTGAGGCATTGCTGGTTTGACTGTTTCGGTTTGTGGATGTGTTTCTGTTTGTAAGTTATGTCAGCAAAATTAGTATAAAAGTGGTTTAATTAGTACAGAAGAGCTCATACCAGTTGCACTGATGTAAATCTTTGGTCTCACAGTGCTTTTTTTTTTTTTTTTTTTTAACTGAATGAGTTGTAGTCCATTTT